ATTGTTTAGGACTAATGAGGGAAGTAGCTCTTCATGCTCTCAGAAGCATGCAGACTGGACCACGGGAGGTACCCTATGGAAGAAGGTATCCTTATGTATTCAGCAAATGGAGATGTATAAATGCCTTTAGTCCAGTCCTTCCTAACCTGTTGCTCTCCACATGTTTTGGATCTGAACCCTTGGAATTGCAGACCTTTTCTACTGGCTGGGGCTGATGGGTACAGAAATTCAAAACACTGAATGGGAACTTGGTGGGGGAAAAACAGAAGTGACCCAGAGTTCCTGCGCCTGTTGGTACCAGCTACGTAGCCTAGCATGGACATCTAGCTAGGGCATGGGGGATCAAATATACCAGCAATGCAAACTTTGCCACACATCTAAAGGACTGGCTGGCGCTGGGGGAATTCATTGCTGAATTCATTGTTATGGCACAGGCAGAGTGGGTGCTCTGGCTGAACTCTGAGGGGATCTTGAGTACAGGGTTGCACCCTTTAGCAATGAAAAGGGCTTTGACTGAAGGGGTTGACAGCTCTGACAGGGATCGTATCACTTAATTTGACAAAGTGCTGTAGTATAAATTCTTGGATTTGCCCAAGTCATCATTGCTGCATGGCTCATCATTTTCAGAAGGTCAAAAGAGCTACTGCAATCCATGAGTATGCAATCTGTTGTGACCTTCATGTGCCTGGGAAATCAACACTTGCCCTTTGCAAGGAACTCCTTTTGTCTGGATGAAGGATACATCATGAGGCTATTTATGATCATCTAAATTTAGGAGTCCTTGGAAATGTCCTTTGATTTCTTTGGTACACTGAGTATTACCTTTTCACTTGAATCAACCCTATATACAATTTGGATACACATTCTGCTTATGTCACTGTAGCAGCTGAACAAAGGAAGACTGGTGACATTTTAGTGCTGTGTGTAGTCTGAAGAGTTGCCTGACCATTTTCCTCTGGTAATAACTTGCCTACTTAACTACATCCTTTTCCTGAACCATTTCTCCATAAGTGCCCCATTAAGTTAAGCTGCTTGCTTGTGGCTTAGTTTTTTGACTCACACCTGCTAAATTCTAAAAAGTTCCCAATTCATCTTTGTTTTTAGCAATGTTATCACATCAACAATACAAGGATACCTAGATTGAGTCATGAATTGTTGCCAAAACTAAACCCTAGCCTATAAATGCTACACACCATTTGGCATGACCCCGATTCCTGGCCATCAAGATCTATTTTTCACTGCATGTATCACACCAGGATTTACCATTCAGAACCTTGTCTCTAATGTGCACCCGTTTAATTTTATCATCCTCAGAAACTACCTCGTTCTGACTATACCTAGCATTGAACACTTAATTAAATATACAGTCCCTGGTGGATCCTTTGTTGAATTAACAAAACTGCTATTCTGAAAACCAGATGTGGTTGTGCTGATCCAGCATAGCCACATCCAGCCAGTGCTTAGAGTCTAGAAAGGAATCACGAGGGAGGCAAAGATGCTTCTGTGATGACACTTGCTGCCTGTCTGCTTCTTAGGTAGATTCCCCCTTGGGAATAATCTGCATTTAGCAAAAATTATTTGCTGAATCAGTTTGAAGATATATTTGGGACTGGTAGGGCAGGATAAACGGTTCAAAGTGCAAAATGTCATTACTTAAATACCCCACTTTGACTCAAAATGTTTTGCAGAATGCTGGTATAGCTATCTATCATTAACTGTAGGGATTATGTGAAACCAGCTGGATAAACAGCCTTTCACATTGTAAAGACTTCATGATTACCAATGTGATATTTGGATATTAAAAAGTTATCACCCTTTCCTCCTTTATTTTTCTTCCTTCTGTTTCCTCCAGTACTGTCAGCCTACTAAAACCTGATGCCCTTGAAATGTTTGGGATTGCAACTCCCATCAGACCCACCTAAATTGGTCAGTGTGGGAGATGGGATCCCAACAATTAGAAGGCAGTACTTTAGAGATAGTCTACACTCATCCAGGTAGCAGCCTATTATTATTTTTTTTACTTATGTTAAACTGCAAAGCATCATGAGCATTTATGGTTCTATAAGCAACAGTGAAAAACACCCCTCCCATTATTTAATGTAATTTTCTGCATTCACTCACATATACACTAGCAAGAATGTTATGTAACATTAGAATAGCTTCCTAATCTGGTTAGTAAGCGCTGGTGAAGGGCTGCTTCAGAGGTGCAATTATGGCAGAAGCAATATTCCAGCATTCTCTTTCATTTCCTTAACTTCCCCATCTCAACCAAAGAGCAAAGGAAGCCTAGGCACAATAGTGGATCCTTTCAAAATCCTTTCAAACCACCTTTTGCTGGTTTCTTCTTTGTGTTGTTTGTTTGCTATGAGAACTAAACCTGCCAACAAAGCGAACCTCTGTGTTTCCCTCAACTAAAGTTACCTGCTTTGAGAATGAAGGATAGCATGGTGAGAAGTGCTATGCTATCATGCTTCTAGGAGAGGTTCTCTCTCTTTTAGACTGCTTTTAGCCGCCACTGGCTGTTGGCCTGTGGCACTGGAGGTCGAGGCAACATCCTACATCAAATATCAATCCTGTGGTGACTGAGAGAACATCCCAAGGCCTTAGGATGTGGCAGACCCTCTCTACTGTCTGAGCCAGTCTGAGCCAAGGAAAAGTTTGCCTGTCGGGTTGGGCCCTTATAAGCCCAAACTTTTACCATACATGTGCATACTTCTCTGCCCCTTCCCAATAGTACATACCTTGACTGTAAGAAAGCATCAATCTATTCAAACAGTGCAGCATAGGCGGCTGTGCACAGTTACTGATTTAATGGCAGGTTATTGTTCCTTAGCATTTTGTTCCCCAAGGTTTTCTTGTCATGTGCCTTTCTAGGGCAGTCCTACAGGTCTCTCTTCATTTCTTTTCTATTTTATGTGTTTACTTATGAAATGGAGAGAAGAGATGAGTCATTTATTGATACTAATTTCCTGGTGGAATGGCTAGTTTTCTCTTGAGTGCTGAACTGGGAGCACAAAGAATCCAATGCTCTATACAGTGGTACGAAACTAGTGATGTGAGCCCCAGTATGTTAAAATGCCAGTTTAATCATTATACAGGACAGCAAGGAAGATACAGAGCAGTAGTGCAGAACATCAGGCCTAGGGAACAAATCTTGCTCTCTGGATCCCTTTCAAGGTTTCCTAGAAGTTGAGGCTCCTTCTCCAGCTAGGCTCATAGCCAGTTTAAAGGTTGGGAGGAGGAGACAAAAAAAGGAGGGGCGTTCTTCTTCTGGGCAAAATTAAGGGGGACAGGCCTGCCCTAGCCCAGCTCTGGCTATAGGCATGTCTCTAGCCTCACCTCATTTCCTCAAATGGTGATCATTTGGTAGCTCTCTGGGGTCTGTGCTGTCTACACCTGCCCCATCTAAAAGGCTGAAATGCTTCTTCTAAGGATTAAGAATGTAGGAACCATCATATCCAATCAGACTGAGGGTCCCTTTACTCCAACATTCTGTTTATAGATCAACCAGCTGCCCATGGTAAACCCACAATCAGGAAAAGAGTGAAAAGGCACCTCCTACCCAAGTTCCACAGCAAGTGGTGAAGCCACGAAGAGCTTTAAGTGGACATTTGTTGGTATTTTGGCCCCATCTGCCACTGGAAAGAGCCTCCCTGTCCTGGATTCTCTGAACTGGAATTTGGCTAAAGGTTTTAGCCAAAACACACATCCCTGGTAGTTGCCCAACTTTTGAAATGTAAGGATTCCTAACCAGAGGCAGCCAACTCCTAGTTCCTATGAGCCTGTTATATTGTGCAACTTGTTTTTCAGGCAGCCAGGCAGGAGGGCCATGCTCTTCTTGCCTTGCCTGAAATCCAGCCCTAGTCAGCAACCCAAATACTGCAACAGAGCACTGAGAGGGCAGGGTGTGCGAGAGGAGAGTTCTTGCATGACAGTGGGCAATGCTGCTGACTACGGGCCACATCCCAGCGCCTCTAATCTGGAGAACCAGGTATGCCAGGCTCATATCCACTTGCACGGCTGGTGCCCAGGAACAATGTGGGTTATCGATCCCCACCCCACTGACTATCTGAGGCATGAACAGAAGGACACCCCTCTCCCTCTGTTCCTGGAGGCAAGAGAGCCTTCCCCTGCCCGCAAAGAGAAAGGCGCTGTGCTAAGGACAGTCCAGAGTCAGAAAACAAAGGGGAAGGTCTGTAAGGAACCAGGACAAGAGGAAGGAATTCGATGGGGCTAAGAAATCTCTCTCTGGCTTTTACCCTAAACTGTCATTCCAGGTGTCCCCTGCATTTTCTATGTTTCCTATTTATTTATTAGATTTTATCTCACAAGGCATCCAATGCTTGCTCTCCAATTTGCCCTCACAACTTCTCAGCCTTACCTATCAGGCAGGTAAGGCTGAGAAGGAGCGACTGGCCCAAGTCGCCAGTGAGCTTCTTGGCTGAGCAGGGACCAGAGCCGGGGCCTCCTGAGTCGCAGCCCGGCACTCTGCCCTCCACGCCACCCGGGCGCTTCTGGCCACGCGGTCTGAGGCAGCTCCCGGCTGGAACCCGCCCGCCAGGCGCTCAGGCTGACGCGCGTCCCATCGGCCGGTTACCTGAGCTGGGCGGCCACGTGAGCGCCACCTCATCTGGGCTTTTCAGACTGAAAGTCACCGAGAGGAGGAAACAGGAAAAGCGACACGCCAAAACCGCCTTCCGAGAGGGCGCAGGAGCCGGGCTCCGCTGCACGGGCGCGGGGCGCAGGCAGCTTGGCCCCCGAGGGCGAGCGGGCGACGCGCGCCGCGCCGGCGCTCCGGGGGGCCCCTTCCAGCCAGCCTCGCGAAGGGAAGCCGCCCTCGGGCTGCTGCGGCTCCTGCGTCGGCGCGCTCCCAGGCTCCGCGCGCGCGCGCCTGCGGGAGCCCCCGGCCCCCTCGGGGAGCCAAGACCGTCCGGAAAGCCCGTCCGGCGAGCAGCGGGAGGCTGGCGCCGGGGGCGGCGGCGCGGCGCGGCGCGGGGAAGATGCTGCAGTCGCTGGCGGGCAGCTCGTGCGTGCGCCTGGTGGAGCGGCACCGCTCCGCATGGTGCTTCGGCTTGCTGGTGCTGGGCTACCTGCTCTACCTGGTCTTCGGCGCCGTGGTCTTCTCGTCGGTGGAACTGCCCTACGAGGACCTGCTGCGCCAGGAGCTGCGCAAGCTGAAGCGGCGCTTCGTGGAGGAGCACGACTGCCTGTCCGAGCAGCAGCTCGAGGGCTTCCTGGCGCGCGTGCTGGAGGCCAGCAACTACGGCGTGTCCGTGCTGAGCAACGCCTCGGGCAACTGGAACTGGGACTTCACCTCGGCCCTCTTCTTCGCCAGCACCGTGCTCTCCACCACGGGTAAGCGCGCAGCAGGCGCCACGCGGCGGGCCGCGGCCAGGCCTCGGCGTGGCGCTTTCGCCCGCCGCGCCGGTTCCCCACCCCCGCCAGGCCAGGCCAGGCCAGGCCAGGCCGCTGCTCCTCGCGGCTACGCGCCTTGGGGCGTCCTCCTTCCAGGGGGCGCACCGGGGCCGGCGCTGGGAATCTCGCGAAGGGACGGCTGCGGAGTGCCTTTTCCTCTGGTAGTAGAGACAAAGGCCGCCCTTCGTGGCTTCTGGAGTAGAGGCAGGATGGGTAGGTTGGGGTTCCTCCCTGGCGCCACGCGTTTTACCCTAACCCTAAACCTCTCCTTATCCCCCCCCCCCCCGTGTAATCCCTGATCCCTCAGCTCAGCGCTGCTCCTTTCTTCTGCGCGGAACACCCCTAGCCCAGCCGAGCGCACGAGATTGCTGGAGAGAGTAACTCAGTTTGCCCCCAGGCTCTCCAAGACTCCCCGAACCTGTTTTCCGTAGCGGGATTGAGCCCATGCTTGAATATGGGAAGGGCCCGACCCAGGAAGCAGCGCAAAGCGCCTTTCCGTCAACACCGAGGAACGAAGCACCGGCATTCCTATGGAATGGCAGGCGTTCCAGTCGTGGCATTTTAAATGGCTGATACGTCTCTGCTCCAGGACTTCTTTGTTTGGAAAGTAAGCACTGGCACACAATTAGAAAGAAAGAAACACAACACAGGCAAAGCCTTAGGGTGGATTCTTGCTTGAGGTTTGAATGGGACTTGCACTGGCTTGCAATGCAGGTATAATAACCCTTCCTTCTGCCCTGGCTGGATGGTGCATCTCCTTTGCAAATATCTCTTTGACAGTTTACTTAGCACTGATAATAGGAACAGGTACACAGATAATGTGAGAAACAGTGAAAGGGCCATTTGGCACAGGCTTTTAATCCATATGCTCTGATAGCACTAATGTTTACATGGGCTGAAATGTATGTTTGACTTTGTTCTCTGTGTTAAGGTGTCTTTCTTATGAAAACACTCAAAGGTACTTTTAGAGTGCAATCTTAATGACAGTGAATGTAGAGAGCTCTCATCTAAGTAAACATGCTGGTTAGTATCTGTGCACCAGTAGAATTTACCTCTACCACAGTGGGAAATGTGCAGTTCCCCTTTGTGGTATAATGGGAAATGAACAGAAATGCTTGCTTTCAGACTGGGACAGTCAGTGAAACTTACAGAAGGCATTCTACTGACCTGGGGCAATCTGGAAACAAGCATTTCTGCTCACAAGTTTACTGTCATTGTGTCCCACTGGGGCTGTGGAATTGGCAGGATTTCACTGCTATTGGTGAAATGACCATTATGCTACTGCTGTCGATGGCTATTTAACAAATATTCATTAATGCAAAGTTTTATATATTTCCTATTTTTATAATATGAATGTGACATTTGCATTAGTGAAAATCTATTAAAATATGATAAAGAAATTTAATCTTTTTTGCTTTCCTGCCCACGTTGATACCATTAAGAAATTAAACATTCTAGTGTAAAAGATGCAGCACTTGCAAAAATGTCCTTCTGGCCCTGTCTTGTTTCCTACAGAATAAGTATAAAACAAGATAGATGATACATATTTCTGATTAACTAAAATTCATCTTTTTGAATCAAGCTTTTGTTCCATACAATTAATGTTCAGACCTGAAAGTTTAAAACAATGAATCAGAACATTGCTATTCATCGGCATAGAAATGCTATAATAATAATAATAATAATAATAATAATAATAATAATAATCCAGCTATGTTTGCATCTTTCAATGAGTAGATAATAGTCATCAAGAAAACCAAGAACTCTACTTGTGTCTTGAATCTTGTAGCAACTGTGGGTTCTTGGGGATAATTTTAATTAAGGAGCTGGACTTTGTACAAAGGCAATGATTTGTTGATAGATCCACTTGATAAAGAGTTTAAGAGCCAAACTGGCCTGATTCACATAACCCACTGGGCTCATCGTGGCTTGCTTAATCCCAAATATGCTGTGGTACAAACTGGAAGTCATTTTGAATATTTATTTGGGATGGGAGGTTGCTGTGCTGCAACCACGGGTTATTTGAGGTTTTAACATCCTTTATAGCCATTGGTTTATAGTGGGCAGCAACACACAGCAAATCCCTGATCATCTGGGTCTGCATATCCGGAATATACAGAGGCTCATCAGACCAGGGTATTCATGTGTTAAAGAATTCATAGTGAGCCTGGTCTGTCGTACAAATTGGGTGAATTTGGTTTGTGTGAATTGTGAACTGCTTCCCTTTTAGTAGTACAGACAAACTGATGATGAACCCTGAAAAACTGTCAAAAATGTACAGCCCAGCCTGAACAGAGTTATCCAGGACTAAATCCCACTTGTTTTGCTGAAACTTAGAAACATTTAAAAAATAGGACTGTGGTGTTAAGTAGCATTGGGAAAATGTGGTGTAAAGTGCAGAACTTTGCATGTTTACTGAGAAGTAAGTCTTGTGTTGTTCAGTGGGACTTAGTTCCATATAAGTTCTAACAATAATTGAATGAGAGTTGTGTGTTGGATTCAGGAATAATTGCTAGAAAGAATTACAATGCAGATTTACTTTTTTCAGGATAATCTGATGGACACTTTACAATGGGCAGCAGTTAGCATTAAATGACCCACTGTGCGGAATCCTGAGAATCACTGCTTTGCATATATCTTAAAGACTTTTCTCTCATATATAGAAGGGTAGTGGATGGGGGTATGAATTTGTTTTTAAAGGTCTCACTCAGATGGCTGAAAAGGTGTGGGAAAAGGATGTGAGCAAGCAGTCCTTTCTTCCTGTTGCAGAGCTTAGTTTTCAAATGAACATTGACAGAGCAGCACAAACTTTTGATTCTTGTCTCTAGTGCAGCTGATTTCCATTTAAACTTAAGTTCTCTGGCTATAATCAGTTTTTGGCCTTCTAGACAGCAGGTTTATCATCCAGTATATTCTGCCTGAGAGTGGCTTAGTTAAACATCCAAAACAAATGTTTTGTGACTTTCTATTCTTGTCTCTAGGCAGGTGGTTTCCGTTTAAACTTAAGTTCTCTGGCTGTAATCAGTTTTTGGCCTTCTAGACAGCAGGTTTACCATCCGGTATGTTCTGCCTAAGAGTAGGTTAGTGAAATATCCAAAACAAATGTTTTGTGAAAACAAAGGAGTGGATAGAGCTTATTTAGTTTATATGTTTTCAGGGTTTTTTTTAAACTAGCAAAACAGGAAAATTCAGAAACCTAATTTCTTCAGAATGAGGCTGCAAGTTTTGCAATTCTTTTCAAAGACAACTGCTAATGAGATGGCTGAGAGAGGGCAAGTTGTTACTCCATTGCTCTTGTTTTCTGAATAAGGTGACCTGGTGAGGACAAGTGGGTATTATATTTCCTGTTGCAGTGGAAAAACCGATTGCTCATCATCTGTGGCTGAAGGGGATAAGTGCACCCATAACTAATTCATCACAAACTTGCAATCTGCGTAGCATGTGTCTCTGTGGCTACTTTCCTGTGCGCAGTGGATTTCAGTTTTCTCTATTTATGATATGGCTTGGTCCTGAGTCCAGTTAACCTTGAATCCTTTCATCCTGTACTCCATTCTGAACAGACTGTTCACAGTCTGGTAGCTGTTTAGCCATCCTGCTGAGGTCAGTGAAGTTACGGATGTGGTCAACATACTCATACCCCTTATTTTGAGAAGCATGAATGATGCAAGTGGAACAGAAATCTATTAACACCTACTGAATATAAAACTTCACTTGTTCCAGTTTCTTTTCAAAGCAACTTTATGAGTATTGCTACAGTCTGTCCCAACCCTTTAGAATATTACTTGTCAATTGCATAAAACTACCGTTTCTGCACTGTTCGATAGGATGGTGTAAATGGGTGACTTGCAACAGCGGGGGTTTGACCCGATGGCCTTCTTCGTCCCTTCCAACTCTCCTATGATTCGATGATTCATTATTTTCTCAATTTTAGCCATTTCTTTGCATGTTAATATCAAAGCCTTGTTGTTTGCAATTTAGACTACTGCAAGATTAGTTTAATTTATGATTTGTTTTCTGGTCTCTCAGCCTGTCTTTTCTTTACTTTTTTAAAGCATTTTACCATACTAAATATAATGAAATGGGGATGCTGTTAAAATTTGGGCAGGCAGAAATATATGTTCTTTCTTCCCTTGACTACTAGTGTTCACAACCATGTTATGTTCCCGCTGTGTGGCCACGTGGGAGCTGTGCAGCATTATCCGTACCCCCTTCCTTTGGCACTCCTGGAACAGGACCTCTGTTGTTCCGTTCTGCTGTCTCAAAGGAAAATACTTTTAGGAGAGGATGGAGGAAGTATTCCTGTTCACACCTCAACCCTTGCTGTGTTATGTAAGTGCTGGCCCCAAATTTGACATTTTATCATTATATAGCAGGGAGAAGGAGATTTGTATTCGAGAGCAGAAAGGAAAATGCTCTGTATAGTGCAAGAAAAGGGATGCATTCTGCCAGCATTATCCCTTCCAGGATATTTATTATAAGAGGCTAGGGGTTTGAATTGGTCAATTGACTTTTATTTTTCTTCCACCCATAACTGGCACTTTAGTAATCTGGTATCTCACACAAACACATTTGTATATTTTTGTTAAAATGTGTCAGTTACGTTTCTATACATTTCCCTATACCTAGGGAATCATATGGAGAAACACCACTGTAATTTTTTGTGGCCAAATTCTGTTTCTGAATTGATAGGCACTTGATCTTTTAATTTCAGTTTTTGAATATAAGAGAGAGTTGATGCTAGTGTATTCAAAAACTGGAAACACAGATAGAGGTAGAAGAGCACAGGTTTCCATTTAGGGCTGGCTCTGCATAATGTTATTTGAAATGTCTCTTACCTCTTGGGGAAGACAATTCTGAGCTGTGGCAGCTTAGCATTACTGCTCTAGAACTGGGAAACTGCCTTTAAACAGCACAGGACTGCCCACACAAGAAGAATTTTC